AGGAAGAATAGGAAGAACAGGAAGAATAGGAAGAACAGGAAGAATAGGAAGAACAGGAAGAATAGGAAGAACAGGAAGAATAGGAAGAACAGGAAGAATAGGAAGAACAGGAAGAATAGGAAGAACAGGAAGAATAGGAAGAACAGGAAGAACAGGAAATCGGATGGGAAGACAGGCTTTGTTTGGTCCCCGAGGGCGCAGCTTTGGTCAGGTTGGAACACGGGAGCTCTGTTCAGTGGTCGGGCTGGAACACCGAACTTTGGTTGCGAATCGGAAAGGCTGGGGGCTGCAGACTACGGGCGCGCCGATATTGCCCTGCGAATCCACTGGGGTAACAGCGTTCCTGTGGGTGTGGCACAGCAGGTTACACGCAAGTTTGCGGATAGAGAACCTCTAGCTAGACTTAGCTCGCACATTTCGAACCAAAAAGGGAAGACACCGCCGAAGCGGGCTGTGGCCAGCTGAATGCCGCAAAGCCTTGAGGCTGTAGTGGCTCCTGCCAAAACACATCCACAGCCAATCATTTCCACGTCGCAGCACTGAAAGTCGTGTCCCAACACGCGACGATTGGCCAGCGGCGCAAAAAACGGTAAATTGACGAAAATGTCTCGGCATGTCTTGTCCAATCCAGCGCGCAGACCTTGGAGCGCGTTGCGCCCAGAACGAACCAATAACGATTTGTCGTCGCGTTTTAACAGCATTGACGCGTTGATTCGCATGTTATCGAAGAAGTGTAAAGACAACAGAGCCAAGTGTTTATCTATCCGAGCTAACAATTACGCATAGTCGCCTCCATTTTCCATTCGCCTCCTGAATGACCACGGCGACGACAATGTGGATGTGACGGTCCCGCCATACGTCCAGTGGCACCGCCACAGATGTGAGGCATATGTGGGACAGATACAGGCATGCAAGCCACACGGGTCGCGCCAGCGTGACCTGCGCCTTTTCCTTCCCCTCTCCTTAGTGTAGAATCTTCGTTCATAGCGCCAATGCAAGGCCTTCGTGCCTCTATTGTCAAGGCTGCAATATTTACTAGGGAAAGGAGGGTTGCCCCGCAACTCTCGGCGCGGCCCCCGGGTTTGTAAGAGCGGTGGCACAGCCACTTTAAAGGTGCACCGCCACGGCCGGCGGCCGTGGCTAACCGTGTGGACCTGGCCCGCTAACATAGCGGACAAGGGGCCTGACGGAGATGGGGTGCGTCGCGATCAGGGAGCGTAAGCTTCGCAGCCAGGTTGTTATGGGGTGGCGCGCCTTGCAGGCGGCTGCTCCACTCTGGAGCAGGAGGATCACGTGACCCCCGAATCGCAAGCAGAAAACTCTGGGACGCGATGGCGGTACTTCGCACCTTCGTCACTTTTTAACACTACTTTTGGATAGTCGCTTTTCATGTGTTAACTATCGCAGGTTGTCTCTTTGTTTTCCGTGATTCCGTAACACAGGTGCAATTGATGCTATGGACTGAAAACTCTTCTATGGGGAGGAAAAAGCGGTGCGGCGTTTTATCGCACGGGCCATGTCGCGGCGCGTGCTCACGTGGATGCTTGCGGCGTGCGGTGGACTGCCCTGGGCTGTTATGGCGTGGCGGGCCCTTGCGGGCTTCCAGCCATTTGCCCCACCGCAGAGAGGAGTCACATGACCTCCGGTCATGTGACGCCACTCATTGACAAAAGGCACTCGCGCGGCTCCGGTGCAATGCACCACCTTCTACTTTTTTCCCTAGCTTTAGTTCAAATATTTCTACGGCCCTAACTTTTCCAAAGGCGACGGAAACCAAAAACGCTGACGCCGCCATCTTGGCTTCGAATGGCTAGAGTGTGCATTTTCTTAATATCACACCGGGCCTGTTGTGGCGTGGCGCCTGGGGAGTCGCTGAGCTACTGTGGCGACCGATCGAACAGGGGCCGTGCACTGAACCCACGGTTGGAGAAAACGCTGCACGTGGGAATGGGCGCAACGCACCCAATCCCTCCTTTCGAAAAATCCGGGTTTAGGTTCCCCGCACGGTTTTGGGCCTAGTCCATGGGGAGGGGCTAGGAAAGCTGCACTAGAATGATCGGCACTGAGGTCGCGTTAAAAGTGGAACCAAAGCCAATTTTTGCACCCCTAGCCGAACTGAAAAGCCAGTCCATGCTTTTCGTGAGCTCGAAATATTGCTGGCAAAGCAACCTGGTCGTGGAGGGGCGTGCAAATATAGGAGGGCTGGGCGAAGTTACACTACACCCCCTCAAGCTCCTGGGGTGTGCAATAACGTGGCTGAACAGCCACTTTTTGCTTTATTGCATGTTGTGACAATCTGGGTCAAAACCCATAGGCCAAGACCCACGGACCAGGACGCACACGGTGGACCGTCGTGAGACGCGCGCTTGACACCAAAATCCCTGCTTTTCCTTCCCTTCTCCCTCTAAGTAGAATTTTCGTTCGTAGCGCCAATCTGAGGGGAAAAGGAAAGAAAGAGGGAGTTCCGGTGTTTGGCGTGCCTCGGCGTGACGCTGGTTCACCGTGTGGGTCCTGGTCTGTAAGTCAGAGTACCCCCTGTCGGCCACCCCCCCAGACGGCCACCTAGATCCCCATACAAACAGGCAAAAACTCACTATTTTCACAACGCGTTTAAAAATCGAATAAAAATTATGTAAAAATAAGATAAGTATCATTTAATAGCCTGAAAGGCAGGCTTTTGCACAATATATGGTATGCGTATATTTTATAATTACATACGTTTGAATTTACGTTATAAAACGGTAGTATACTAAATGTTAGTGTTCGCTAATAAAATGTATCCGTTTTATAACATTTATTATTTAAAACGTAATTTTTTTAATATATTAACTATCAAAATAAAATAACTTGCGTTTAAATCGGAAAAATCCCGGCTTTTACAACATAACATTATATATTATGTAATATAACTACTTAAGCTAATATGGACAACTTACACAGTGTATTATACAGTACAATGCATTTTTTATTATATAAAATTAAAATAAAATGTTATAAATTCCAAGGTTTTAAAAACATAAATGCATAAGGGTATTTCATATATGTAAATTAGTATTATTTAAATTAAGGTATTAATTAAAAAGTTATTTCAATTTTTCATTTATATGTAATTTATATGTAAAAGCTTATTTTGTAAATTTAACATTTTAAACGCTACATTTTATTATTAAATTATTTTATTTGT